CACGGCGCTTCCTCCCCAAACAGCGCCTCACTTCCCATTTTTACTCCATTTAATTGAAAACACCTTTTTTTTAACGCGCTCACGCTATATTTACCGTATCAGGTCCAGTTTTTTGCTTTTTTTGTGCAATTTGATTGGTTCTTTTCTTTCGGTTATCTCGTACCCGTTTGGCATAAAATTTTGTGCCCTCCTGGGTTAACCTTAGCTCTGCCTTCCCCCATCCTTCCAGGTGAATTTTATTCTCACTGACCCAGTCTTTTGCAATTTTTTCCTCAACACATGAGAGATTTTAGGACATTTTACAAGCACTGAATTTCCTGAACAGTCATCGGCGTGGGAGAAGCAAGAAAGGCAGACAAAACAGCAAAACGAATTGTTGGTTGTTCGGAATAACTCGGCGTTTAAAGAGATCGAAATAAATCAAGCAACCTTGGCCAGTCCGTAACACTCCCACCAAGCCTCTCGCATCCATAAGTTTTCCATGAGTTGTCCGAAGCCTGGATATTGTTTCGTTATTGGCTGAAACCAAAAAATAACAGAAGTCACGTCTGAACAGTTGCATTCAGTGTGTGGGAGCACACCAGTATCATTACTAATACGGACTGCCCACAGCAACTGTCCGGGTGATGTTCGCATCCATGCCGTGTTGCTTTTATTCCCGAAGCACTAGAAACAAAATTCCGGCCAGAAAATCAGGGCCTCTTTGTGCCCGAGTCGCTGTGACAGGCGCTCGGAGATCGGGCACCCCGTCAAACAGCAACGATCCGCTAGGAAGGCCCCTTCCGAGAGTGCTTGGAAAGCCGAGTGAAGAGGGAAGTTAAGATAACCTACAGATAGTGGCTATTGCTGCAGACTGGAACAGAAGCACTTTCTTTGTTCGCTGAGACTCAACGATCACGCTGTATGGCTCCATTGACGCATTCCGGTGCGCAATCCGGAAGGCGAAACGATGCGACATGGTCAGTGCAGTAGCAGCAGCCGACAGAAGCTCGTCCGTACACCAAATGATTTTCTGTCCACCAAACAACAGTAAGCGAATTGGTCAGGCAGCAGCCCAACCAGATGCAATATAGAGATAAGCGGTGCGAGCATTCCCAACGAACGCTGCTCCACAGAGATCCAGAATTTTAACTCCAACACAGTGAAATTTATATCTGAAATGTGAACAAACTGTACGGCAACCGGCCGCTTCACTGCGCGTTCTGAGAAGATAATATGCAAAAAAGCACAAAAACTAATCAAAAAATCAAAGAACAGAAAAGCGGAAACGCCGAAATTTTCATTTGGGTACTTAGACAGAATCTATGGCACTTCTTGGGCTCAGGTCTTGGCTGTTCTTTGAATTTTTGATTAGTTTTTATGCGTTTTTGCATATCGTTTTCTTTGTGGTGAAAATGAAACTACTAAGCCTCCCACGGCCCATTTTAATCATCGAAGTGTCATTCTCCCAAA